GGTGTCCATATGGTGCCCACTTGTAAAGCCGTCCCAGAGCTTTGGCAGACTGAGCTTTCTAACCAGCAATATCTCCTTCTGCCGCTCCAGAAAAAGGCATTTCTCACTATTGGAGCCAGTGCTGGTGTTTCCAAAATTAGGGCTTCCAGACACAGCATCCTCCACAAGCCTGCCAGAAGGCCCTTGTTGGGCAATTTTTATTGTACCCATTGAGGCAAATTAAAAACACGCTTGTGCTTAAAATATAAAAATATAATTAATGAATGTGGCTTATTTTCTCTGAAAGTCTGCTAAAATATGGTCAACTAGTAAGTTATGCTATGAAAGTTGTGTTATACAAAGATTTTGCTACTATATGAAGGAAATCAAATAGAGTGTCAAATGGTTGCCTGCCCTTCATCCTTCCAACACATCAAGTAGGTCACCTCAAAAAGGAGAACTTTGCGTATTTTATCACTTTCACACGAGAAAGTAAATGTAGGTACTCACAATGTGAATTATCTTAATTCGTGCCTTAAAAATCCCTTTTCATCATCTATACCATCTTTATGATACCTAACAGTTACACAGTTGATGAAAGAGTCATGAGAAATATATATCACTCTAAACTTGAGTTGCATTTTATGATATAAAAGCACAAGATGGATCCTATCTCACCTCTGATCAAATGCCGCTTTTTCTTTCTTATTCTCTCTTCACTGAATTGGGTTGTCCTCATTTCTTTTCTAATACATCCTACTGTTCCAAAAACTTCAGTTTATCCTCTCCCCCATGCAATTTCTTAAGCATCTCACCACACTTACAGAACCAAACCTTGACAACCGCCTCTACGTACAGCACAGTAATGCCTGCTACAAAACAATGTTATGACTTTTACTAGCGCTGCCCACAGGTGCAGGAACTGACATAGGACATTAGAAGCATAGATATTCACATGATGGGGTATAAAAATAAAGGCCTTGGAGAGTGATGAGTAGGAGCTGGTATTAAACATACATACACACATAATGGTTCACAAAGAAAAGGTGAACTGGGAATTTTCAAACAAATCATCCACTACTAACAGAAGTCTTCGACTTTCAGGTTTGCAAGCAAGATCTGTCACATATTGATAAAAATCAAGCGAAAACACAAAGAAGCTAGGAGTTAATCAACAGCATCCATGCTGTACCTTTAGAATACCTAATTTTGTTTAATGCAAGGAAAACACTGGCTCAATTCAGAGTCCATTCTTTTTTTGCTAAAAAAACCCTTAAACTTCAATTTAAAATAAACACTTTCTCCTTCCCTCAGGATAATGGAATGTACATAAGAAACCAATTTAAAAGCTAATGTCACTTCTGCACATTTAGTACCTGTTTATTGCCGGTATCTCCTTGAAGTACAGGGGGAAAAAGTGGCAATCTTGGGTCCTACTGTCCAGGAGGTGTTGCATACTTTTCTATAACTCTGACTGTATGGCATTGCTGTGACAAATAACGTGATGCTATTCATAATTAGAAAATGTTGGTTCACTATGAGGCCAAATAACAATGACTTCAGCCATCTATAATATGCAGTTTTACATCTTTCCATTTTAAAAGTTCTTCCACTAGTCAATACCATGGTCAAGGATCATCAAAATTGTTGCCAGTGACAGGAATAATAATAATATGCTGAGAATATCAGTTTCTTTTCAAAATTACTCAGATGTCACAAAAAAACCCACAACTATTAATGAATGCAGAAGATAAAAGCAAATGCATTTAAAAAACCTACTAAAGAGGGGTTTTTATTAGTTTAAAAAATTGACTAATAAGAATAACATACAAAATCTAATAATTTTATTAAAATAAAAATTTGAAAAATATATACAGTGCAAGCTATGCATGTACTTTGTTAATGTTCTTAATCTTAACTTGGAAAACTAGTTATTTAATTCTACTCACCTGAACTCTTCAAGAAAAGACATTAATTTGATTAAATCTTAATACTAATTGAAATGAGTATTGTATTTAACTAACAGAGCAATTATTTTTTTTCCTAAAGGACTGAAAGCAAGCTAAGTTGCACCAGCTGCTGAAAATGTTTGGTGCTAGAACAATCAGTTACAGCCTGACTTTCTACGACAAGCACTTCTTAACTTTTTCTAATTTTACTGTAACTAAGCACACTGTTACTCTTGATGCCATCCATTAGCTTCTGTCTTATACCTTGCTCTATTTTGCCTGTCAGCAAAGTCAGGAAGAAGTCTGTCATACGTTTTAACCAAAGCAGGTTAGAGATATAAAACTGTAGTATCTTTTCCATCTTCCTTTGTGTCTTCCTTTTCTGTCCTCTGATCATCTTTCTTGAGTCAAATGTTTCTGAAGGGTAAAAGCAGATTCCCCTCTTCACCTCCAAAAATCCATTACTTATGTGCCCTTTTCACATGCTTCTTATCCCCTTGACTGACACACATGAATATGTGTCCAAGAAAT